CCTTTTCAGATCACAGAAGAAAATTCTGAGACTTCCCCCAAACTTTGTTCTCCCGTGCAGTGAACCATTCCTCCCCAACCAATTGTTGTTTGTGTGTTCCTGCGAGCAGATTATTAGTATAATAACGAGAGCTAATATTGCATTAATGCGGTTGTTAGACTATTTGTATTGTCATAGTCATTAACTTGGTGATTACAATTTTGTTTCAATTTCAGCTAGCTCCTTGTGCATTCTGTCAGAACTTCCAGAAACAACGGAATCCAGAACCACATTTCATAACAGACTGAATATCCAATTTACAGAATTTATGGAAATCCGGCCTGCAGTGACCACCCTCCACCAGGAGAAAAAACAAAGAGAGCCACGTACCGACAGGTGAGCGCAGGGCAGGGCCAACCTCCCCACCCTCACACATGGGGAGCTGGTTCTCCAGGAGCGCCCCCCCCAGGCCCTCTGGACCCCCCAGGGCCTCAGGGCAAGAACTGGGTGGTCCTGTGTTCAGAACGGCAGACAAGCAGCACATATCTGCAGGAAGCCATGACCCAGCCTCTGGTAGCACTTTTTCTGGTACACAGGAGGGACAGCTTAGCTAATGTAGATCTCTCCCCAGCCCACATCATGACCCCCACCCTAGCCCAGGCTGCAAGGCTGGTGAAAAGCCTGGGTTAATGGAATTCATCTGGCTTTTGATCGCTAGGCTTCACAATGATTGTGCTTGAACTAAACACGACCAGCTACATTGCTGATGGCTGAAACTGGCTTGTTGACTGCCAAGAGCCTCATGAGATAGCATTTGAGGCCTTTGGCAGTTGACCCAACTCAGAAACCTCACTACGGTGCCAGAACCAGAGCACAGCTTAGCTTACAGGGAAGACTCACATTAGCCAAGCTCACATGGCTGATGTATAAAACCAGAAGCCATGTTTTTTCATTGACAATGAGCAACTGAGCTGTGACAAGAGCTGGGCTATTTTCTCCCAGAGATGCAGTCTTGCCTTCATCTACCACCCTGGGCCTCTCTCTGGACAGGATCACTGGGTTTTCGTGTCCCGAGGCACCAGGCCTCTGTGTGGCTCTCCTCTCCTGACCCCTGCAGAGGTGAGGCTGTCCTGGCCCCCCATGCTGCTTTAGCTCAGGCTCCGCCTCCCATCACTGCCGCCAAGTTCACTGCCCATTTCCTCTTGACTTCTCTTGTAACCCCTCACCTTGGGGCTTTTGGGAAAATCCCAGTAAAGAAAATGGATTGAGCTCATAAACTCCCCTCATTTCAATTTTGCTTTTTATTGAATTCCAGAATTCAAAGCAGTCCCTTTCCCATGGTCAAAGCTCAACGGATCATTACTGAGGGAATGGATGAATGAACTGGCCTGGCTTTTGCACCTCCCTTCTCTCTTCCTGCAGGTAAGCACTTCCCCAGGCGACAAACAGACCCGGTGTGGGCGGTGGGGGCGGGGGGGGGGGGCTGATGACTCAGGTGTGCCTAATCCCAGAGGAAACACAGCCACCACCACCCCCACCTTGGACCCCACGGCCAGTCTACCTGTTCTTGGCTCACAGCAGTGCCTCCCCTCCCGTTAGGTCTTACAGGCCTGGGAGCTGTTCTCCCTCTAAGACTGTGCATGTCTCTGTTCCATTATAAGCTGACATGAAATTCAGCTTTGAGTGGTTATATTTCTGAAGTCTAGAGAGGCTCCTTGGGGTGCCTTCAGGTTCTACCCATAGACCCAGGCAGACCCTGGCCAGAACACCCCCGTCCTTGGAAGGCAGTGTGGGGTGGGGGCTTTGGAGTCAGATGGCCTGGTTTAGAAGATTGTCCGTGTGACTTTGGACAAGTTGAACAACCTCTCTGGGCTCAACCTCCTTATCCTTAAAGCAGAGTCTATGTTGTGAGAATCTGGTGGCATAATTATTCCTCTCTGGGGGCATGACAGGGGTCACATAATCCTGGCTCAGCATCGCTCCCGCAGCTGGGGGACTCTGGCTCTGGGAGCACTCTCTGCTATGTCCTTGGGGAAACCCCATGGGCTGGAGAGGCCGGGAAGGAAGAGGGTGGGCCCAATGGCTGACGCACTGGTTCGAGCTGATTCCAGCTGTGTCTTCTCCACTCCTCTGGGGAAGCCTCGTAGCCGACCGGCTGCACGGATGGAGAAACGGGTACCGTCCATCTGCTGACCACAAACACAGACATGCAAAAACCTGGCAGGAGGAGGTCTCATGGAGCCAGGCTGCAATTTAACACATGACACTCAGATATCCAAAACATTTAGCTTATTTATTCCTCTCTAATATATTTTGCCATTTTCACAAGACTCCACCCCATTGGAGAATGTAAACTTGCTGATTTAAAGAAACCACAACAGATGGGGCCTTGTAGCCTGAACACAGCAGAGGAGCTGGAACCTTCTCCTTCTCCTTTCTGAAGTCAACACAAAGACAGCCACATGCAGAAAATAAACCCTGACTCTTACCTCACACCATATACAAAAGTTAACTAAAAAGTGGCTCATGGGCCTAAATACAAGTGCTAAAACTACAAAGCTCCTAGAAGAAAACATAGGAGCAAACCCTCATGATCCTACAGTTGGGAAGGACCTCTTAGGGCACACAAAAGCACTAATTATAGAAAGAAAAAAACACAGCACATTGGACTTCAGTGAAATTAAAAACTTTTGGAAGATTTTCTGTGGAGAAAATGAAGAGGAAAGGCATAGACTGGAGAAAATATTTACAAATCGTATTTACAAATCTAACAAAGGACATGTATCCAGAATATACAAATAATCCTTACGACACAACCTATTAAGACAAAGGATTCGTTGTGTGTGTTGGGGGGGGGGCGGTTTGTATTTCGTTTTAAGTAGGTTCCTTGCCCAGCGTGGAGCCCACTGCGGGGCTTAAACTCCCGACACTGACATCAAGACCTGAGCTGAGATCAAGAGTTAGATGCTTAACCGGCTGAGCCACCCAGGCTCCTCAAGACAAAGGATTTGACTAGACAGTCAACCAAACAAGATATATGTATGAGAAATAAGCACATGCAAAGAGGCTCAATGTCATCAGTCATCGGTGAAATGTAAATTAAAACTCCAGGTGATACACTGGACACCCGCTAGGATGGTTAAACTTTAAGAATGTCCACATGAGGATGTGAAGCAGATAGAACTCTCATGTTGCTCTCACATGCCCTTGGGCACATAAATGGACTGTCACTTGGAAAACAGTTTGGGAATTTCTTAAAAAATTAAACATACCCCTACTCTTTCACCAGCCCTTCTGCTCGTTGGTATTTACCCAAGAGGAATGAAAGCAAATGTCCCTAAAAGACTTCTACAGGAATGTTCATAGTAGCTTTATTCATAAGAACCAAAAAGGGGGAAAACTCAAATGTCCATCAACAGCTGAATGGATAAGTAAATATGGTGCATCCACGATATGGAATAATACACAGCAATAAAAAGGGACGGACCCTGGTTTTACACCAGTAGATGGATTTCAAAATAATTCCAAGTGAAAGAAGCCAACAAAAGAGAAAATATGCTCTACGACTCCATTTTTTAAAAAGATTTTTTATTGGGGCGCCTGGGTGGCTCAGTCGGTTAAGCGGCTACCTTCGGCTCAGGTCATGATCCGGGGGTCCTGGGATCGAGCCCCACGTCCGGCTCCCTGCTCGGCGGAGAGCCTGCTTCTCCCTCTCCCTCTGCCTGCCACTCTGCCTGCTTGTGCTGTCTCTCTATCTGTCGAATAAATAAATAAAATCTTTAAAAAAAAAAGATTTTTTATTTATTTGAAACAGAGAGAGCATGAGCAGGGGGCAGGGGGAAAGAGCAGAGGCAGAGGGAGAAGCAGGCTGCCCGTTGAGCAGGGCACCTGATGCGGGGCTCCATCCCAGGACATCAAGCTCATGACCAGAGCTGAAGGCAGACGCTTTACTGAGCCACCTAGGCGCCCCTATAAGACTCTATTTAGATAAAATTCTAACAAATGCAAGCTAACCTACAGTGGCAGAAAGCAGCTAAGGGGTGGCCCGGGGACAGGGTGAGGGTAAAGAGGAACCCAAGAGAGAAATCACAAAGGGGTGAGAACAAACCAGGAGTGACGCAGACATGCATTAGCTTGATGGTTTCATGGGCGTGTACATATGTCAAAGCTTATTAAACAGCACGGGTTAAACATGAACAGCTTATTGTATGTCATTTATACCATAATAAAGCTGGAAAAAAGGAGAAAGAAATCATTCCAGAAAAACAAGGAGAAAATCCCAATAAATTCCAAAAGGCAGCAACAACATAAAACATTCTAGAATCATTGTTCAATTATATTAAAAATAAATGACAAAATCTTGAGGCAGGAAAAGTCTTTAGCTCACGAGTCAGAGAAGTGGTCCAAACCCAAACTGCAGAAGGTCTAGAAATAATAATAATGAAAACCTGCATGTGAGATTCCACAGGAGTCAGCTAAACAAGTCCTCAGAGGAAAATCCATAGTCTTAAAAACTTACATTTAAATAAACAGACCCCCCCCGCCAAAAAGGAAATCAATTAGGTGTCCAAAGTAGGAAGTCAGAAAAAGAACAAAATCAACCTAAGAAAAATAGAACAGAACATGCGTAGGGGTCAAAAGTAACGGATTGGAAAGTCAACCCCTGGGCATCTCCTCACTCTTCCCGTATACCCCTCCCTCCGCCCAGGCTCAAAGTGGGTGCCCTCCCCACCTGTCCTCTTCTCTCCCCTTCTGGGCTCACCAGGCACTCCCTCAACGCCTGCTCCACCCAACCCCACCCCAGTTCTCCTGCCCTCCAAGCCTGGCCCACCTGGGGAGGGAGGGACCAGGAGGTGGGGATGAGCACACACCTGGGGGCGTGGCAGGGGTGTGCACAAACCTGGGGCTGGGGGATGAGCACACACCTG